CTAATATAGACATAATCGAAGTAGATCTAATATTCTGACTGATAATAATAGTAGTAAAACTGTTGCCAGTGGCGATTATAAGGAGGGGGGAGAGAAATGGCCAATTCCCCACCCACACCCGAATTTTGGCTAGTCCCTCGGTTGACCCCTAATTTTAATTTTTGTTGAAGAAAAAATCACAGCAGGCATATTACACTATTCTGCTAGTATTGAAGTTATTAACTATTTGATTTTATTTTGAAGTTAACCCCTCTCTTGTGGTCCAACAGCTTGAGAGTGGAAAAGAGAGCAAGAATAGATTAGAACTCCACGACTATGAATGAAACGTTAAAACTCATTCCTAACTTGTGTATACGATAGTGGTGTAGTATGAAAATAAAGACCCTACATGAATTCCCCCCTCCAGAAAAATCCTGGTCCCCCAATTGGCCCTTCCACAGTCAGAGTTCCTGAATAGCCACTGTTTACCACTTTTCTCTTATTTCCTTAATGAAATATTAAGACATTATTCAGAAATCAGAGTAACTTTGCTAATAATTAAAGGGCTACTCTCTGGCCCTATGCCACGTATCAAACTAGTATTTTCGAGTCACATAGACTGACGATGGGGAGACAAAAACAAAGAACTGCATTAAAAATAAAAGCATCATTTGAGGACATCTAACACCAAGAACTAAATTGTATAGCACATGTATTCGAATAGAAAATAATGAGATAATCAATATAAAGGTAAAGCTTTTGAGGACCCCCCCATCGAAACTGGGAAAGAAGATAACATTTCAGAAACTTGAGAAACATAATTTCATAAAAAAATTGTTTTATAAAGATTTTCTAAATTTCAACCAAAGTTAACACTGATTACTGGGTCAATAGATCTTGAATGTTTTTTTTTTCGTGTAAATGGCTAATATTACCATTACCATTTTTATGGAACAACATTCCGTTCTTCAGCCACTTGCTCGGACAGGTTTATTGTCTTTGCACAATTTATTCCTTATGAGAGTTAATTTTATCTTTCTTTTCAAACAGCAGAAAACAGGCGTGATGAATTTGTTATCGGTGTACATACCGTCAGTTTGGACGTTCGAATCAGGAAAGGGATTTTGTGTTAATTATACATATATCCGTTTAAGAACGTGACAGATTTGATGAACAGGGAATCGTCCTGGGTATAATGATAAACTACATCCAGCAGCAAGACCTCTGACAACAACAAGAGGAAGAAGTGGAGGGGTAAGGTTATTATAAAAGTATCCAAATTAATTTTTTTATCCAGCCTCATATGTGCCTAAAAATTATTCCTTAATTTGTATGCATTAACTGAAAACTTCAGATTTCTCGTCCTGTTAGCAGGGGTTGCAAATATTGTTGAGGTCTTTATAATATATATATATATATATATATATATATATATATATATATATATATATATATATATATATATATATGTAGATTTGACTTTTCTCCCTCAAACCCTAATAATATACATTAACCGATCGAAACTAAATTTTGAGAAATGCAAACATGTAAGTGGGTACAAATTACAGTTGGTTTTACTAGGTGCGTAGCTTAGTACAATAAATTTTCATTCATCTTTTTTCGGAGAACTTAAAATTGTTATTAATTAATATACAAAATACTCACCTATTTTAAAAAGCAAATTAATGTTCAAAATAAAAAAAAAAACAATTATTTAATAAAAATGCAATATTGTTTTTACATATCCTTTCTTTAGGTTTTTGATATAAAAAAAAATCTTTTTTTCCAGTTCGTCTTGCTTTTGCGAGAACTATAAACAAGTCACAAGGCCAAACGCTTTAAAAAGTCAGAATTTGTCTCCAGAAAGAAATATTTACGCATGGCCAGTTGAATGTTGCATGCTCAACGGAATTTATTCTTCACTGATAAAATGGAAAAAAAAAAAAAATTCTTAAAAAATATTGTTTACCAAGAATCTCTATAATATTAAACTAAATTAAAGAACTTTTTAAAACTTAAAGTAGGGTTTTTGTGAAAGTATTTTTGCAAACAAATCAGATTATTCAAATTTCATCGTTTGTTTCGCAAAATTAAACGACATGTAAATCCCGACAAAAAAATTTAGCAATAAATTCAACAATACTAAATACTGTGACGATTTTGTAAATAAATTTTAGTATTTTAAATTTCTAAACCCATTTCTTCAAATATCTGTTTACAAATGCGCTAAAATACTATTTGGGTCCACTTTCTCCCTACAAACAGGAACAAATATATCTGTAGCCATAAGTCTTTTGGACCGGTAAAAGATGTTTTTGTTTTTTTTACGATGTCGGATCTAACGAATAATGCAATTCTAACACAACCCAGTCTTTTGCTTTCAGAATACTTCAATAGAAATCATGCCCTATGTTTGAAACATTACCTTTTGCATATAAGAACCGTCAGGTTTTAGAATGTGGTTTTGCCAAAGAATGAAAATTAATCTGAATTCATCTGAACCTGACGAGACGCGGATTTCTCTAATTTCCCATTATGTGACACTTCAGTGTAAAACAAAACTAGGAAGCATAGCAACTATCAACAGCTACGTATATAACAGGTGAATATATATAACTATTAACAAAAGCGTTTAAGTGGTACTGATTCAAGCACAGACAACTAGATTTCGTCGATATAACAATTGAAGAATAAAAATATAAACGATACAGACAAAATAATTCCAGACAAAGTAATTAAGTTGTGGTGACCATCGCACCGAATGAATTCACCGCAGACAGAAGCAGGTGTTACTAAAATATAAATGTATCGCTATTTTCAAAGCATAACCGCTACCGGCAATGGGTACGAATAGGGACCGTATTAATTATCACCTGTTAATGCGACACTCTCCATCATTATTTTAATATAAGCTATCCCATAGAATAAAGAAAAATAAGCAACGATTAAGTATATATATATATATATATATATATATATATATATATATATATATATATATATATAATCTGAAACCAAACCGTTATAAAATTAATTATCAATACTGAAGACTCGGAATAAAATAATATTTAACAACACGGCGATTTTCTCTCTTCCTTTGATAATCACGCCAAAAAGCTTGTCCATGAATATGAAGGGATCCAATGGAAAATAAGTAGACAAAACTTGTTTAAGTTATTCAATGAAACATGTCTGAATGAAAACATGATGACAAAATACATGCGTATCTATCTATCTATATCATTTTTATGTTTATACATTCTTTTTATAGATACAAATATTTAAGCAAATGTTATAATAAACAGTATTAAACAACATTTAACGGCCTGAATGTCCAACAATTATTTTAAGACATTTTGTTTATACATTCTTTTTATACATACACATATTTAAATAGATGCTCTGTTTATAATTAAACAGTATTAAGCATTTACCGGCCTGGATGCCCGAGAAATTTTCACAGAAAATATTCGTCCACCGACAGGATTCGAACCTGTATCCTATACGGAACCGGCATATAACCTGATGTGCCATTTAACCGATTCGGCTATAGAGTATCGTTCGGTGAGCAAAGTCGAATTTACTGCTTTTAAACTTCAATCTTCCATGAATCTCTCACGTACATTCATATCTGCTCATTGTGTATCAAATGTAAACAAATCACGTCACACATTATGAAATGGACAAAGTCCGACAATTATTTTAAGACATTTTATGTTTATACATTTTTTTTATAATTATAATTATATATATAAATATATATATATATATATATATATATATATATATATATATATATATATATATATATATATATATATATATATATATATATATATATATATATATATATATATATATATATATATATATATATATATATATATATATATATATATATATATGTGTGTCTGTGTGTGTGTATGCATTTGAACATGTTTCATTCAAAAATATAGGCATATTGTGACTATTGATTTTATACTAAATCTTTATCAGTTTCCTGATGTTAAGAATTTCATCAAGGAGGGCGCTGTAGTTTATTCGTTCTTTTCATTTTTAGGGGTAAATTACAAAGACATTCTTATTGTAACTGCGATAAAATCATTATTCTGTTGTGATGGTGATTAAAAAAAAGAATTCGGTCTGTTATCATTATTTTAAAATTTTGATTTATCCGTTGTATTTATGGAATATTTTGCGACACAAGCGTTTCAGTATAAGGAAGCTGACCAAAAAATGGTACAAATTACAAATGCCATTAAATGTTTGTTACGTTGCTGCTACACTTGTAATAAATTTTGTTCAGTCTTGGTTGGTTGATTTTGATATATAGAGCCTTGAGAATGTGAAGACTTTGTTCCATTACTTTCTTGGTGCAGTATGTTGTTGGTGTAAGGATTTCTTTTGCAACATGTATTTATAAACTGAAGCAAAATTATCAGATTTTAAATTTAACAGCGCTCAAAGGTTAAATGTGAAAGTCTGATAAACTATATAGGACATATATATGTATAGCTATCTTCAATTGGAAATGAAACAGAGTAATACGAAACAGCTAGATAGAGAAGATGAAGTAAAAATCAGGGTGAGAGAAAGGAGATTACAGGAAATCCCTGAATGATAGAGGAAGAGGGATGATGATGATGATGATGATGATGATGACCATCATCATCATCATCAAGAGGATGATGATGTGAAATCACACACAGTGATGAGATGAAAATGAAAGAGAGAGAGGATGTGGTGAATGGGTAAAAGTGTATTGAGAGAGAGAGAGAGAGAGAGAGAGAGAGAGAGAGAGAGAGAGAGAGAGAGAGAGAAAGGAGACGATGAGATGAAAATCAGAAAGATAGGTTGTTAAAAATCAAAATGAGAGACTGTGAAAGTTTGAGAAGGAGGAAAAATTTGAATTTAAAAAGAGAATTTGAAGAAAATCAGAAGGAGAAAAGATTATTATAAAAAATGGAAAGAGAGAGAGAGAGAGAGAGAGAGGTGAAAGAAAGGTGAAAGAAAAAGTGAAATTAGAGAACATCCCAAGAGTGACGTTGTTGAAAGTCAGAATATGAGAGAGAGAGAGAGAGAGAGAGAGAGAGAGAGAGAGAGAGGGGATGAAGATAAAGTCCGAATGACGTAGAGAGGAGGTGAAAGTGACAATGATAGAAAGTATGTTGAGAAAACCAGAATGCGAGGGAGATGAAAACTAAAATCAGAAGTCTGAGAGAGAGAGAGAGAGAGAGAGAGAGAGAGAGAGAGAGAGAGAGGAGAGAGAGAGGATTGGTGAGAAAATCAGAATAAGAATAAGATTTATGAGAGAGCGATGAAAAGAAAATCAGGGCTAGAAATAAGAAGAGAGAGACAGACAAAGACAGAGACGAGAAAATATAAAGTGTGTGGATTAGGAGAGATATAGAAATGAGAGAGAGAGAGAGAGAGAGAGAGAGAGAGAGAGAGAGAGAGAGAGAGAGAATGATAAATTAATAATTTTATTTTATATAACTAAATAATGTAGATAAATAAATTGAGAGACAGACATTGAACAAGAAAGCCTGATTTGCAGGGAACGCATTATATAAGCAGCGTTGATTTATAAAATGAGTGAGTGAAAAATATAAAAATGATTTTGCGAAAACTTTAACCCTTTTTCTATCAGCATACAATTCCCAAATATATAGCAACAGAGAAAGAAATACACTCAATGCTGAAATTATTACAGAAAAAAGGTAAAGGCAGAAAGAATCATTTGAAAAAGCATAAAGACTCTGAGTGATTGATTGTTAAGCATTGAAGAAAAAAAATTATGCTAAAAAGATAAGAGCTGGTCAGGAGAGATAAGGGACGAAAAGGCTGATAATAAAGAGAATACCAAATACAAACGCCCCTTGCAGCAGGGGCCTGCTTCCTGCACGTCCAGAAGGGTTTCGTCCGTCCCCGCTCTTTCTTCCAGCCAGTGTTAGGGGCTTAAAATGGGAAAGGAAGCGTCCTCGACAAGGAAGGGAAGGCATACAGATACAAGACAGGGAGACAGAAAGACAAAAAAAAGGGGGCTGGCAGACAGGCGTGGGCTTCGACTGGAATCGATAAAATCCAGGCAAAGCGAAACGCGACGTGCATGCACGCATACTACCGCTCTTACTTCCACGTATGTCCACTCAGAAACATTTCACGTCCAGGCATGAATTAATACACACAAACAAACGCATAAACACACATTCATTAACACACAGAGACACGCAACAAAAAATAAAATAAATGTCATAGACGTTGACATATGCACATGCAAACATACAACCAGTACTGGGCAGAGCTACATCCTCTTAAAATCTCAGATGCACATATATACACAAATCCACATCCACGAATGAACACATTTCATCGAGAGTGCATCATAAAAAACCCCAAAAAAAACCTTCCAAATTCAGGCATCATATAATCATACATAGGAACCAATTATATATATATATATATATATATATATATATATATATATATATATATATATATATATATACTATACAGAAATTAAGCAAGACAAAATATTAGAGAGAAAAACACGCACGCGTATGCATATAAATACATATGCCACACACCATAAAGGATTACCTTACCATAAGAGAATTTAAGTCTATATTACACACCTGTCAACACAAAAATTAAGACCTATTTGGAAAATAAAGCAGTAGATTGTTGTCGCCAGCTTTATGTCGCACCCAAGAATTTAATTTTTTTTTGCGGATCGCTTTCTTTATGATGATGGCGTTGATGTCTATATTCGCTTCCAACGTGCAGGTTCAGAACTAAAAGCTACCATTTTCACCAAAACCTTTTCCCATCATCTCTCCCCTATGGCGCCTTGGCTTTGCAAGCGTTGGTTCGCACTGAAGAAAATAAGAGTAGAATAAAATCCAAATGGTGTGAATTTGTTTAAGCTAGAATTTAACTTTCCAGGAAGTAATCGACACGCTTGAATTCATGAACTTTCTTTCTAGCATGTCCGTCATGTGTAGCACTTTTCATCCGTGGGTTCAGCCTTTGAGATCAGTACGGAAAATATAACTCAATTTGAGCTTGAGCTAATTTTGATGTATCACCCTCATTTTTTTTGCGTTCAACGCAGCAAAATCGCTTCATAAATGTGGTATTTTTTTTTTTTTTTTATAGAACCCCGTAGACATTGGGCATTTCTTCGAAATAAAATGAACTCAAATATGACCGGTTGGTGGATCAGTGACTATGATTAGAGTTGTTGCGCACTGACGAAGCAGTTTCCTTCCCGGGTTTCGCTTTTATATTAAGTAATTTGAAAAATTGATTCGATGAATATTTCCAAACACATACCAAGTGGATTTCACTAAGATTTATATTTAAGCTCGTATAACATTTAGGGTCTTGAAAGTTCTTATTAGTTTCAAAGACATAAGTTTCCAATCTTGCCTTAACAACTTCTTACCATCGAGACTACTTAATAGGATCTAGTCTCGCAAATGTTTACAAGATTCAAATAGCAAGAGAGAGTTGAGTATTTTTAGATTATTTTACAAATACCTACACATATATAACGAAAATAGGGCTATGCGCACAAACTAAGCTTGTTGAAATGTTCTTGTCTCGACGTACTCCTAAAATCTGAGCAAAGTCAAAAGGCTGAAAATCAGTAAATTTCTGTTAGAATCACTCTTTCTCTCTATATATAATAGCAACAACGAGAATAGAAACATAAACTATAACATTAATATTTATTTTATAAAAATCAGATGAACTAAAATTCCAAACAAGATGAAACGAGAATTAAGAACGTACGCAAAACCAGTAGACAATAGCAAATAAAATAAACTAATTATTTATTAGAAAACATTTAAAACCGCCAACCTTATAGTTAAAAATAATAATTCACCTCTTAGTATAAAGTTAAATAGAACAAATATTATTTGCGAATTTAAATGTCTATTAAGGAATTTTATTCCTGATCAATCAAAATTCGTAAAAATTATATAGGCCACACTACATGTTTAACAAGAAGACTTGTACTATATCTTTCTGATCATAGCTCAATTAGGTCTCATTTAAATACTCATGGAGACCTACTGGAACCTATTCGTAACATACTTGTTGATAACACAAACATAATAGTATCTTCTACATGTAAAAAGAGTAATGGAAGCCTTATTAATAAAATAAAAAACAAACATGAACATGGACACAATATCTTGACCGTGTTTCGAAAATGAAATATTATATAAATACATACATAAAACAATTCAGTTAATATATCTATCTATCTATCTATCTATCTATCTATCTATATATATATATATATATATATATATATATATATCACGTACAATCTCTTACTTCAGTTTTATGGATATACAGTGACATACAAAATTTCTCTTACGGTTCTCTTATTTTTACCCAAGGTAAGCAACGTTCAGGCTTTTCAATACTTTGATCGTTTACCTTTTGAGAATACCAGGAGCTCTATGCGTGGATGAGCGGCTAGTGTGATGAATAATTCTCATCGGATTCGTTATATACACTTAGGCACAAATACCTTTGTCAAAGTCATGAATCCAATCATTATTAATTCCAAAAAAATCTCACACAATCTTAAAATGGTGTTTGACTTTAAATAAACTGCAAAAGATTGATAAGCTGTAAATGAAAATAAATCTATCCAAATATAAAAAAAAAATAATTCGACTCTAGACGTTACAGACAATTGAATTACATATTAGGCAATTCTAAATGTTTTAGATTGGCGTTCAGACTGAAATCCGTTACGAAAAGCATTTTCACACATTTATATAAAATATTATATGATATTTCAGTAGAGAATTCTAAGTTGACACTCAAACAAAGAAACGCTCATAAATTTGATGTCGAAACAGGTTTATTTAACTTTGCTATGGAATGAATAGTTTTATGTAGAAGGTTATTATTTTTAAATGACATATGCTTTCATGATCTAGGTGATGATGCCCGCACTGTTTCTTTCTTTTAATATCTATGAAGTGCAGTAATTTCTTAGAACATTTTTTTCGAATGTAGAGATATCTTTCTACTAGACTGGCTCCCACTGAATGTTTGTTTTATTTTTTGTTCAACGGCATATGATTCATTTAACGGCGTAATTTAATTTTCTTGGAAGAATTAGTGATTCCATTTATAAAATTATTGCTGGAATTTGTTACTATAAAATTTATTACTGCCTCCTTCACTATGAAAATATTTTGTTCATTTTCATAGCGTTTTGACCCAAGTTTTAGGGGTTAACTATTTACATACAGCTGGGACTATAACATGGGCTACCACCCTGAGTTACCACCCAGGCATTAATAGGTGGTCCTGCACTCTTCAAAACATCCCGATGATAGGACTTACTGACGGATGTAGTTTATCTTCATATCCAAAATGACCCACTCAATGCCGGGGAGACCATTCTACCAAAGTATTTACCTATAGCTCGGTTGTAATGGAGAAAAGTTGGTTTCTTACCATTTGCAAGTGTCTATGATCGAAAGTGAACACAACACATGTTCTTGGATTTAAACTAAGCTTACATGTGTGTGTCGGGTTGAGGGCGTGTGCGTGTTTAATAGGTATCAGGCGAGCGCACATGTGTGTGCGTGTACGCGCGTGTGCATTAAACAACAAGTCTAATCCAGTCTAATTCCCATGGTGTACATGTAATCAACATCTTGTCGCAAAATTTACTTCTTCTTTATTTGCCGTATTCGTTGAGGACGTAGGCGATCATGGCTTTCCACAGCTTCCCGTCAATTGTAACTCTTAATAAATTTTGTCTTTCTGTTAATTCTCCTGGTCCTATTACACCATCCATCTAATCAAGATCGTTAAGCACGTTATGCCTTGTCTTCTTCTGTCGCCCTTCTCCTCTATCTGTCCTGTGAGTATCAGATTTTCCAATTCCTCCTTCCTCATTATAAGCTATAAAAAACTATCTCTTCCTGATATTAAGTGTTCTCCCAAACTTCATTGTTACTCACATGTTCGGTCCAGGGTATCCCCACTACATTTCTCTCAATTCAAGTCCCCACTATATCTTTGGAGAGATCTTCAAGCACCAACTGCCATACAGGAGAACAGATATCACAGTCCGTTTTTTTTGTGTTTTTTTAGCGACATTTTCCTATTTATCAGTAATCTGATTAGTTTGTGGAATGCTTCCTTACAGCACGTACAAATGAACTGTTCAGAGACAAAATACGAACGCGTCTCATGGCATATTTCTTCTTTTATAGGCCTGCAGCTCTTCTAAAAAAATGCTTTCTCTAATCTGTCTTTGTAAAACTACTAGATCACCAAGATAGTTGCGTTGTTTTGTTTTGTGTCTCTGATCATCTCTGGCCCCAGTGTTCCGAATAAAGTATTTTCAGAAAGGTGAGATTTCTTATTATACAAAGTTGGTAAAGTTATAACTTCCGACATCCTACAACAGTCAGCATATTCTTTTAAAATCTTCGTTTACAAACAGTGCCATTTTTTACAGTAATGTCCACTCTTTACAAGGCCCGCAGGTCAATCGACATAAACAGTGTCATTTTTTTTTTACAGTAATGTCCACTCTTTACAACGCCCGGAAGACGATTGAGTTAAAAGGTTACGTTTGGAGGCAATTTGTGTGTATAAGAGTGGAAGACAATGGTTAACCCTAACCTTGAATGGGTTAAGATTGTAATGATCCCGGAAAACATCCTGTTGAGAGTCGGTTCAACAGGGTACTAGTTTATAGGAAGAAGCTGCTCGAGGGGAATTTACATCTCACTAGTAAAATACGGAGGTATTGTGTTTAGTTTGTTACTATGCAAGAGGCATGATCTTGCTGTGAAGGTTACCTTGGACCAGGGAATGTAGTTTGTCCGAGAACTTTCCGTGGAAGTAGCGACAGAGCAGCGGGAGGCTTGCCACCTCCTGACTGTGGGAAAGAGGTTGTTGGGTGGAGAATCAACCCCTATGCATGATTTTAATTTCGCTGTATGGCTGCATAGTTGAATTTCATGTAAAACCAAGAATGCAGATTTTTATTACAAATTGGAACCATTATATCTACTTAGAAAATTAATGTTGTAAAATGATCTCTCTATACACATTAGTGAATTTG